CAACAATACCAGGACAATTAAGACAATTAGGTATAAATGCATGAATGCAATGCAATGCACATGACCGCTGCGGCGCGCAGCCCGATCCATTTGGGTACCCGCGCTCACTGTGGGGGTTCAGACTCCGGACGGGCTCCTACAGCCCAAGCACAATATCATCATAACATTCGCTGCGGCGTGCAGCCCGATCCACACTCAGTCCAGGTATATATATGCATGCAAGCCAATCGGGCACAGTCAGATTATTCATTTTAGTTTCAATTATTAGGAATTTTAGAGCTAAGTGTTTAAACCTTTATTTATTTACTAACCATTTCGAGGCAGTGTCTAACTCAGGACTGATATCATGAAATATGCTAAGCATCATGAAAGCAGTGATAAGGATCCCTGAAGGATGCAAATGATAGGCACAAAGCCCCAAACACATTCATAAAATCCAAGTAGGATGATTACCAAACAATTTCTAGTCAAGAACGCAGTACGAACATCAATCGGAACAGAATAGGTCAAAATCCCCAGTTACTATCGACCCCGCACTCGTCATAGAGTACGTGTCTCGCCTCAATATAGCGTCACAGTGTGATATACCGGGGTTTCAAACCCTCAGGTCATCATCTACATCTATTACTCACCTCAAGCCGGCCACAAGTCTAGCTCGCTATGCCTTTGCCTCTCGAATCAACCTCTTCGCACGCCGAATCTGATTAAACCCACAACGAATACATTACAATAGGCTAAAGAAACATAACCCAATCGAAAAGACTCGAAAAACAGCAAAATTCACGAAGTTGGCAAAACCCGAGCCCCGGGACCACTTCTCGAAAAATTACGAAATTTACATCACCGGATTTCTCGTCTCGCCACGAGTCCGTACATATAAAATTTACCAAAATCGGAGTTCGTTTGGCCCTCCAAATTCCATTTTTACATCCTAATTTCTCAAGCCCTAACTTACCCCATTTTGATGAATTTCCACTGATTTCTATGATAAATTTACCATAAACTCGAGTAATTAAGCCAAGGAACTTACCTCCGCTCGATTCTCAGTCAAAACCCTCTAATTTCTTGCCCAAAGCTCTTAAGAAGGTTAACAATGGAGGATATAATGAATGGGATCGCGGTTAAAATAATATAAAAACCCCTCTGGACGCCCAGGTTTTTCCCTTCGCGAACGCGGTCAACACCCCCGCGTTTGCATTGAACAAATTCCGTTGACCAAAATATTACCCTACGCGAACGCGATACTACAAACGCGAACGCGATAGTCCAGCTTACCCTCCTACGCGAACGCGATACTCCGCATGCGAACGCGATGAACAAACTAGGCTGGGCCCCCAGGCCCTTCTACGCGAACGTGAGGCCTTCCCACGCGATCGCGATGGTCTAAGATTTTACCTTCCGCGAACGCGTGCCTACAGACGCGAACGCGAAGACCAGTTTTGGTCTGCAACAGCTGGGCAATTTTCTGCAACATTTTCAAGGTTCAAAACCTCCGTTAGCCATCCGAAATCATCCCGAGGCCCCCGGGACCTCAACCAAAGGCACCAACATATCCATAAACATCATACGAACTTGTTCCCATCATCAAACCACATCAAACAACGCTAAAACCATCTAATCACATCGAATTCAAGCTTAAGTTTCTTAAAAACTTCCGAATTACGCATTCGATCAAAAACCCGACCAAACGACGTCCGAATGACCTGAAAATTTGCAGACATATCCAAAATCACCTAACAAAACTACTGCAACTCTCGGAATTCCATTCCGACCCTCGGACCAAATTCTCACCCTTCCACCGGAATTCGCCAAAATGCCAACTTTGCCAATTCAAGCCTAATTCTACTCCGGACCTCCGAAATCGCTTCCAATCGCACTCCTAAGTCACAAATCACCTTCCGAAGCTAATCGAATCACCGGAATTCACATCCGAGCCTTCTAACTAATAAGTCAACATTCGGTTGACTTTTCCAAACCAAACCTTCCTTAAAGAGACTAAGTATCTCATTTCCTATCCAAACCAATTCAATTAGACTCTAACTCACCCGTTGCTGATAATAAAACATGAAAGAGCAATAAATGGGGGAATCGGGGCTGTAATACATAAGACGACGGGTTGGGTCGTCACATCCTCCCCAACTTAAACAAACGCTCGTCCTCGAGCGGGTCGAGAAGCATACCTGAGGTCTCAAATAGGTGAGGATATCCGCTCCGCATCTCCTGCTCAGTCTCCCAAGTAGCTTCCTCTACGGGCCGACCTCTCCACTGCACCTAGCAGTGATACAATTTGTATACTACCATGTTTCCAGTGTCATTGAACATGCCGTTCATCAGATAAGAAAAGGTTGGCTGATTTCCGGTGGTTCTCTAATTGAGTATTCTAGGGACCACGTCATCAACTCGGAGTGCAATTTTGGAATCAACAGAAGAACAACACTCATAAAACCACACTTGCATAGCTAGGGGCATCCCAGCTATCCTGTAATACTTCTTCACAGCATCCATCTTCTTGCTAATCGATTTTGTCAACATCTCAAATGCTTTTAAACCCCAATGATATTCAGAATATCGCCCACTCTCTACCAAGTAAAAATGTAGCCTTGGTATGGTTGTACTGTTTTTCTCGGATGAAAAAATGAAGGTGTGTATGAAATACAACAAAGATATCTTCAAGGCATCAACATCATTGTCGGGACCCCAGTTCTTCTCAGCAAAGCATTTCATCAAATGTTTCTTCTTGACAAGATTAGCACCTCCAAAGTAAGTCTCAATAAGCCGGTTAGGAACCTTTTCACTAAACTCAAAATAACCATCATTACCAACACACTTGAGGCCAGTCACAAGCGCAAACTCCTTTAATGTGAAATGTAATGAAGTACCATTGACGTGTATTGCAAATACATTGTTAGGAGTACCTTCTACCTGGAGAGCCATGAAGCATCTGAAGAGTTGATGTTGGACTTCACAACGCTTCATTTGAAGAAAATTTCCAAAGCAAGTATTACCAAGTTGTTGGTACTGAACAGGAGTAAGGTTCTCTTTTATATCGGAGACTATATCAGTGTTAGTATACACACTGATATGGGGTGCAAATTTTGGCTGTTGTTTGACAAAAAACTTAATTCCCTGCATTTGACATGAATAAAAATATATAAATACAACTAAATACACTGACAAGGCTAATTACATATAAAACAACTGGATACAGCACAAATGACATTAATTTATCATACATGAATACATATGAATACAACTAAATACAGAATGGAACTTTAAACTGTTGAAAACAACAATAAATATAAATGAAATTGAAAGGAAAAACAAGNGAAAATTACCTTTTCTTCAACTTTATCTGAGGTTTTCAATTCTTCAACCTCCTTCCCCTTGACAGATGAAGCTTCAGAGATATGGTTTTTCCTCTTTTCCCGAATGGGAAGTGTTGTCTCCTTCATTGATTTCTCGACTTTATCATGTCGAGCTTTTGTTCTCTTCTCCAAATCAATATCTTTGGCTAAACCTGCGTCGAATTCACCTTGAGTGATTTGCAAGGAGAAAGAGGGCCAATCAAAATTGAGAAGTTTAGTGGGTATACTTCTAGTAATCAACTTGTGGGGTGTATCCTCAGACATTGTAACAATACGACTTGGGTACTGTTGCTTAGATACAATTTGGTTAGTCGGGAGGTTGAGAAACAAGCAAAATGGCGAAAAATCAAAAAAAAATATGCGTTAGGGTTTACCCGAGATTGGGGAAGGAGGAAGCTGTGAATGAGAGCAAATGAGAGCAATATAATTTTAACCGCGATTACAGGGGATTTGGAAGTATCAATTTATAGAGAAGGGGGAAAACTTGTACTGAGAAGTTGTATGTAAAAAGGTATCTATGAGAGAGAGAATCTGAGAATGGAGATGGTGAAATTAAACATAGCGTGTATAATGGCTTAAGTGTAGGAGATACCCAAAATTAGAATTTTTGCTATAAATCATATAACATATCTATAGGATGTAATTTATTGAAATGGTATTTATTTTAAATAAATAGGGGGTTAACCTATTCTATAGGAAGTAAATTTTTTTTTCATAAAGCACCATCTTTTAGCCCTAATTAGTCATTTATAGATACCCTTTGCTATATTACTTGTTATAGATACCTTTTATGTTTTTATACAATGTATTTCATGTATTTAAGCAGTTGTATTCATTAATACAACCAAAAAAATAGGCGTAAAAACGGGAACTCCAGCTAAGGGTATCTGTATTTATCTGTATTCAAGCTGAATATAGATAAAATTCAGTAACGTTTTTGCGCAAATTCTGGAAAGTTAAACTTGTTAAAAACGGAAGGAAATAAATTCACATGATAGTCTCCTAATTTAACTCAAAGAAATAATACGAGTACACAATAATCTGCTCAAAGAAAGCAGAATAATTTTCTCCCCTTTTTCGTGAAAAGAAGCAAAAAACAGAGTCCATCCAAATTCTTCAATTCTCTTCTCCTTTTTTCGATTGATACAAATTATATACAAAATAAGGTATAGTTGCTCTATACATATGGCAAGTTTAACAGTTTTGTTGCGTCATTCTGGCAAGTGGAACGATGAGGGCAATTATATCGATTTTTGCAATTGAGGGTAATATGATTAAGGAGTATGCCTCCTTTAATGATCTAGTTGCTTTAATTTCTAATCAACTGGGTATAGATTTGAGCTCAAAGACCATTAAAATACAATACAAAGTAGAAGGAAATTGCACGCCAATGGAAATACACAATGATATGGGTTACAGAGTGTATGTAGAATTGAAAAAAGAGAACAGAGAATTTGGGATGTATCCTTTGTGCATAACTACTATCGAAAAAGAGCTATAGACGGAGCAGTTCAAAGGTACGATTCCGATGCTGATAATACACTGGCTATAGAATTTGTCAATTGAGGAGAAGCGATTGGAGTGTTCGAACTCCACAATGATTTGATAATTTCAAAAACCAATCAAAAGGAGGTTATGGCCGGACAAGTTTATAAGGATAAGGCTACATTGAAAGAGGTGATGGAGAATTATGCTATAGCTCAAAGGTTTCAATTCCGGGTTGATCGGTCTAATGCTGTCAGGTTTGTTTTTTGTTTAAATTTGTTGTATTTATGCGTATCTGTGTGTTTCCTCCTGATGAACACATATGAAAACTTATATTTGTTTAGGGTGCTTAAATACATGTATTCAAATGTATTTTAATGGTGTTCAAACACAACAGTGGCTCTAATTATTTTCTTATTTCGTCTACTATGGTATTAAGTGTTTGCATATTCATACAAGTGTATTCAGTTGTATTCATTGTGTTTGAACGCATGTAACTATATTGGAATTCAGTAGTATACAAAATTATATATACACTTGTGAATTTGTTAACATGTATTCAGGATGTATATATGTCAGATTCTATTTGTCTGATGTATGAGCTGTATTTGTTGTAAACAAGTATGCTAATCAAATGTTAAATGATTAATTCTTTGCAGCTATGCATTATTATGTATTTCAGAAGATTGTGAATGGAGGTTTAAGGCTTCAAGCATTAACAAATCAGAACTATTCAAGGTGAGAGAATTCAATGATAACCATACATGTCCGCTGAAGGATAAGGTGTACGAGCAGCGGCAGGCTAGTAGCAGCCTTATAGGTGGTATTATAAGGCCAAAGCTTACAAACCATAAGAGGAAATACACTCCGAGGGACATTATTGATGATGTGAAATCAGATTTAGGTGTAGATGCTAGCTACATGTTGGCGTGGAGGGCTAAAGAAAAGGCAATGAATTTTCTTAGAGGTGAACCGGCTGATTCATACAAAAAATTACCAGGATACTTATATACAATGGATATGACATATCCAGGTTCCCACATCAGAATGGTAAAATCGCCAAAGAATGAGTTCATGTACGTGTATATATCATTGTATGACTTTATAAGGGGGTTTGATCATTGTAGACCAATTGTTGTTGTGGATGGAAGTCACCTAAAATCTTACTACACCGGTACATTCGTTTCGGCAAGCACGTTGGATGGTGCAGGTGAGTATCTGAATAATAATACAATATGTTAATATTTAAATATTGAAATACATGTATTAAGAAATAATTATATTCAATTGTATGTACAGGTCATATATTACCACTAGCATATGGTGTTATTGATTCAGAGAACGATGCTGCTTGGACGTGGTTCTTTGAGCAATTCAAGATAGCATACGGTGTAAGGAAAACATGTGCATCGTTTCAGATAGAAATGAGAGTATCATTAAATCTGTATCGAGAGTGTATCCGGATGTACCGCATTTTGCTTGTATATGGCATCTATGGACCAACGTATATAAGAATTCAAAAAGAGCCATGCCAAGTTGAGCGAGATATACTTTTCGATGGCAAAAGCATACACAGAAGCTGAATTTGACAGTCTAATGGAGAAGGTAGATATTAGGGTGAAAGAATACTTAGAGTTAGCTGGTTACGAAAAGTGGGCTAGGTTGTATGCACCTGTTAACAGGGGATGGACAATGACGTCAAATATTGCTGAGTCAATCAATGTCGCACTAGTTTCAAAAAGGGAATTGCCAATATACGACTTCCTCGAAGAAGTTAGGAAGATGTTTGGACGTTGGAATTGTAGTAACTGCAAAGAAGCTACACAGACATACAAGACGCTTGGGAAAAAAATACCAGGAGATGCTGGAGTTGAATGTGTACACGTATGACTGTAAGTTAAATTTTACTGTCATTGCTGTATATATTTTTAGTTAATTTCTGTATTACTGGCATGAATACAACTGAATACAATCATTTTTAAGTAGAACTACCATTAATATATATGAATGCAACTACATTCAAGCACATAACATGCATTCCCTAGATCTGATATGAATACAACTGAATATAACTAATTTACATGCTGAAAAAACTGTTGGAATACATAAGAATGCAACTAGCTATATGATATGTAATTTTTATATGTATTGTCAATACATATGATTATAATGCTTTTGTTAGCATAATGTTGCCTAAACTACAGCAGACTTTTGATAAGTTCTGCACTTCTCGCACATGACATTTTGCTGGTCCATATATATGATGTATTCATATATATGCAAATGTTTCTGTTATATGTAACTTATTAATTCAACATTATACATTTGGTAATTCAGGTAAATGTGTTCAAAGCTTATATTTCTATTTTAAATGTAGGTGGTACTGTCAAATGAATACTTACATACGGTTAACGATGGTGGGAAGAATTACACAGTCTGTGTCACGACCCCAATCCCGGTCGTGATGGCGCCCAACACTAATGCTAGGCAACCCCGACCAATTTAAATACTCTCAACCCAAATACGCAATCCGTTAACAAATAATACGATTAAAATAGAAAACATCAAGGTTCCAATCCGAAACTAAATAAAATAGTATGGAAAATAATAACGAATATCCCAACATTCCCCAATAGATCTGGAGTCACGAGTCTAGAGCCTCTAGATGTAACAGAGTTATATATCCATAGTAATAAAGAAGTCTAGGATATGGAAAGACAAATGAAATAAAGGAGGAGTCGGGTCCTGCGGACGTCAGGCAGCTACCTCAACAACTCCTGAAATAACTTCACGAAAAACAGCAAACAACTCCACTAAGTCTCCGGAGCACCTGAATCTGCACACATGGTGCAGGGAGTAAAGCGAGTACTTCCAACTCAGTGAGTAATAAACATATATAATGGCTGAAAGTAAGAAATTCCGAAATATTACAATATAAAGCTATAATCAGCGATTCAGCACATAAAATGATGAAACAACCGCAAACAAAGACAATTAAGACCAACAGATATAAAATGCATGAATGCAATGCAATGCACATGACCGCTGTGGCGCGCAACCCAATCCATTTGGGTACCCGCGCTCACTGTGGTGGTTCAGACTCCGGAGGGACTTCTACAGCCCAAGCGCAATATCATCGTAACATTCGCTGCGGCGTGCAGCCCGATCCACACTCAGTCCAGATATATATATGCATGCAAGCCACTCGGGCACAGTCAGATTATTCATTTTGGTCTCAATTATTAGGAATTATAGAGCTAAGTGTTTAAACCTTTATTTGTTTATTGAACATTTCGAGTCAGTGTCTAATTCAGGACTGATATCATGAAATATGCTAAACATCATGGAAGCAGTGATAAGGATCCCTGAAGGATGCAAATGATAGGCACAAAGCCCCAAACATATTCATAAAATCCAAGTAGGATGATTACCAAACAATTTCTAGTCAAGAACACAGTACGAACATCAATCGAAACGGACTAGGTCAAAATTCCCAGTCACAATCAACCCCGCACTCGTCATAGAGTACGTGTCTCGCCTCAATATAGCGTCACAATGTGATATACCGGGGTTTCAAACCCTCAGGTCATCATTTACATCTATTACTCACCTCAAGCCGGCCACAAGTCTAGCTCGCTATGCCTTTGCCTTTCGAATCAACCTCTTTGCACGCCGAATCTGATTAAAACCACAACGAATACATTACAATAGGCTAAAGAAACATAACCCAATCGAAAAGACTCGAAAAACACCAAAATTCACGAAGTTGGCAAAACCCGAGCCCCGGTCCTACTTCTCGAAAAATTACGAAATTTACATCACTGGATTCCTCGTCTCGCCACGAGTCTACACATACCAATTTTACCAAAATCGGAGTTCAAATGCCCTTTCACTCGGGAATATCTATCCGCTGTAGTACACCACCGGGTCTCTGATGCTCATATTTGACCTGCTGACAGTTGAGACACCGAGCTACATAACTCACTATATCTTTCTTCATTCTCCTCCACCAGTAGTGCTGCCTCAAATCCTGATACATCTTCGCGGCACCCGGATGAATGGAATACCGCGAGCTGTGGGCCTCCTCTAATATCAACTCCCGAAGCCCATCCACATTGGGCACGCAAATCCGGCCCTGCATCCTCATCACGCCATCATCATCAATAGTCATATCTCTGGCGTCATCGTGCTGAACCCTGTCCTTAAGGACAAGCAAATGTGGATCATCATACTGATGCTCTCTGATGCGGTCATACAAGGAAGACCGAGAAACCACACAAGCCAACACCCGACTAGGCTCCGAAATATCTAACCTCACCATCCGATTGGCCAAAGCCTGAACATCAACTGCAAAGGGCCTCTCCCCAACTAGAATGTACGCCAAACTACCCATACTAACCGCCTTCCAGCTCAAAGCATCAGCCACCACATTGGCCTTCCCCAGGTGATACAAAATGGTAATATCATAATCATTGAGTAACTCAAGCCACCTCAGCTACCTCAAATTAAGATCCTTCTGTTTGAACAAATGCTGAAGGCTGCGATGATCAGTATACACCTCACAAGATACGCCATATAAGTAGTGCCTCCAAATCTTCAAAGCATGAACTATAACAGCTAACTCCAAATCATGAACGGGTAGTCTGCTCATGAGGACTTCAACTGACGAGATGCATATGCAATAAACTCTACCCTCCTAGCATCAACA